GTCATGGCCGTGAGCGTGGACGGCAGGATGTTTGAAGGCTCCGGACGCAGCAAGAAGCTGGCCAAGGGCCAGGCGGCGCAGGCGGCCCTCCAGGCCCTCTTCGACATCCGGCTGCCCGGCCACATGCCCAGCAGGAGTAAAAGTCACCTCCTGCCCCAGGTGAGAATTCTCAGGTAGCTCCCTGCAGGTGGCCTCTCCCGGATGCTAGGAGACCGTGAGCTGGGACGGGCAGCAGGCAGCCCCCGCTCCAGTCGCTGTAAGTAGAGAGCGCCCACACGCACCTCTCCCAGAACAGCCAGCTCAGCTCCGGTTCAGCCTCACCATTAGAGGATTTGTCAGGCTTAAGGGGAGAGAATCGTGTGCATATAAAGAAAGAACGTCAACATTCGGACTTAGCAGAGGGGCGGGGGAAGAGTGAAGTCAGGTGTTGTTTGTGGTGACACCAATGTTAGGAAACGGAGCAGGGCAACAGCAGGGCCCGTCCCCAGATGGGCTGACAGGGAAGGACAGCTGGCATCGGTGGGTCTACCCTTCAGTGACTTGGTTGCTGAGCGTTCTGCAGCAGGAGGACTAGAGGAGGTGAAATGCATGTTAGGAAGCAGTTTGGGTGGAGTGTCTCACTGGGGAGTCTGGAGAAAGGGAAGCGAATGTGAATCATCGCCTCAGTCATTCCACCCAGAGGCAGGGGCCTGAGCGGCAGCCACACGGAGGGGAAGGTCAGAGGGTCCAACCCTCACCTGGGAGCAGAGGGCTCCAAACAAGGGCAGGCTGGGACCTGGTGTCAGCAACCTCCCTCCGGCCCTTTCACACCAGCGACAGGTCTGCTTTCTTACGCTGGTTCACCTTTGCTCATGCAAAGAACACTTTCATAGCACCGTCCATGTGTCAGGAATGAGTCTTATCCCTTGTCCTTCCAAATCTTGTAACTGCTTATATATGCAAATTACCTTCTGTCTTAGCATTTTCAAAATTGTCAGTAGGCATCACTAATGTATTAGAGGCAGGAAAGTATCTTTATTGACTTTGGTGTCAATCGCGGGGAGGAACATAGTTCAAATGCACTTAATGCAGTGCAGGTAAGTCCCCAGTAACTGTGAAGTGTTGCTACCATGGCTGTCCCGATCACCTACCTCGCAGCCCTTGCAACAGAACCTGCCGTCACTTTGGGAAGCCTCGTATCAGTGAAGGAGGCAGGGTGCCGCCCAGACCTCAGGGAGCAGGAAGGACACGCCACAGCGACCAAACCTAATGCACAGAACAGATGCCTCGAGCTAAGTCACAGTGCTCAGAAAGCACTGATGGGAGGGGGGTCCTCCGCTCGCAGCTCATTGAGTGAGGGAGAGAGACTGTCCAACAAGAGCCCAATCGAGGGAAGGCTGTTTCTCCTGCTATCTCTGCCCCCAACGCCATCAGTCATTTCCACATATTTGTTGAACCTTCTCAAGAGCGGGTTGTAGGGATTTAGACCATCATCTCCATCGGTCTTGCCTTTCAGCCCACCCCCAAATAACACGCAATCCACATAGAAACCGGGTGTTTGAAAGAAGGTGGGGATTGAAGGTCCCTGAGCACCTCCTGCCAGAAGAATTCAGCCTCATTTCTCCCTCCTGGCACCTCCATTTTATATTGTTTTCTCTCTTTTTCCTTCTGATCCTGTTTCTCCATTAACTGTAGCTTTAGCTTGCCACCACGCCCAAGGAAGCCACTATGCGCCCCGCAAGCTGGCTGAGCCCAGGTGGCCCAAGGCCTCCACATCACCTGTCCTCTCACCTCCTTCTCCAGAAGGCCCACCTGCAGAGCGTGCAGTGGTGTGTCCCCTCGTCTTCCGGCCTGTCGTTCCTGGCGTGGCCACCCCACCAAAAGCCCTCACGGCCCCACATTTCCTGTTCAGTAAGAAACATTCGTTCTCCCTTGCACCCACTCTCCGCCCACCCACCCCAAACGAGCATTGAGGGATGTCAGGGAGCTGCAGCTGAAACATGTTCCTCTCTTGTCGTCACCCCCGAGCTCGCGCTGTGGAGGAGCCAGGCAGCACCACTGCTTCGTAACAGTCATTTGACCCCAGAAAGCAGCACATCAGTTAAAGCCACGGCTGCTAAATTATTTTTCTCTGACAGTCTGCTAACCACCCCGACGGGATGATGGAGGGCTCGGAGCAGCGAGAGGGCTGAGGGCCATCCATCACGCCCGGGCACTGCAGTCCTGAGGCTCGTTACTGGGTCTTCGACCCTTCCCCAGGCTGGGTGGGGCCCAGTGGGTCAGGGGACCCAGGACCAGGTGCCACTGGCGGCTTCATTAAATTCAAATGCTGTCTGGCACACAGTCTGGATGCAGGGACTGATCTTTACAAAGCAATTCCAAGAGTCCCTGTAAAGGCTGCTCTGCTCTCCTGCTTGGCCCAACACTGTCTATGCAGCAGGCGCCTCGTTCGGCTGATTCGGCTGGTCCTGCTGGCACCGTGGTCCTGAGCTCCCGTTCCCTTCGCCATCCTGCCTAGCTGCACTGTTCGCACCTGCTCGGGGACATCATGCCGGGCACCCTGTCTTGGCTGGGCTCCCAGAACCACCACCCACAGTCCCTGAAGGCAGGTCCCCCCACCAGTGACCGTGGAGGACACTCCCCAAGGCCACCCGGGGGGAGGCAGACAGTCGACAATGGAGAGACGTAATTTCAGGAACTTGGGTACTGGCACCAATATTTAATGTCCTTTGCCCCAAGTCCCGGGTTCTCCCTACACAGGGGACAACAAGCCAAGCGTCTGGTTCTGACACCCGTGTTGGTCACACGTGTACAGAAGCAAACATGTCTCTGCTTTACCCAAAGGCTCGGTCTTGTGTGAAGGAAGCTTCAGAAGCAGCCCTCATGTTACCTCTGTAGGGAAGTAATGAAATTAAGTAATGCTACCGCTTTAAGTAGTATCAACAAAAAAACATTTCAGATGTGACAGTGCCTAGGGCAGCCGTGGGCAAACTACGGCCCGCGGGCCGGATCCGGCCCGTTTGAAATGAATAAAACTAAAAAAAAAAAAGACCGTACCCTTTTATGTAATGATGTTTACTTTGAATTTATATTAGTTCACACAAACACTCCATCCATGCTTTTGTTCCGGCCCTCCGGTCCAGTTTAAGAACCCATTGTGGCCCTCGAGTCAAAAAGTTTGCCCACCCCTGGCCTAGGGGCACGCACGAAATGCAGGAGGTGCTAGAAGGAGGGCCAGGGACCTGCCCCACAATTCTCAAGAGGGTGGCTCAGACGACTGCACTGCCAGGTAACCTGCCCTTTGGAACCTCAGGGCTCCCAGCCTCGGCCTGGGGAGCAGGACCAGCAGAGCGGGCTGGACGCTTGCTTATCATCAAGACAATCCTGACTGAGCATCAGTCCCAACACCCCTCAGGTAAAGAGGTTGGTGCCACTGCACTCTTCTTCCAATCACCGACTTTCATCGTCCAGTCATCGAAAGAGAGAAGCAGGCCTCCTCCCAGGTAACACCGCATCCTTCTCCAAGCAGCTTGTTTCCGCCTCGATTTTGGGAGAGCAATTTCTAAAGAATGATGTTCTCCATAAAGATGAAGATCACAGGGCTTGGTTTCTCCAGGATCTGGTTCTCACCATGTACTCGCTCAGAATGAGGCTAGTTCTGATCCTACAATTTCATGAGGTATGACTTCAGGTCTCAGAGCCAGAATGCTGAGACCAAGGCTTTATTGGTTTTTCTAAACCGCAGTACAGACCTAAGTGGGCAGCGTCTACACCGCTCGCCCAGTGCTCCAGGAGGCAGCTGGGCCCAGCCCCTCAGACACTTTCTTCATCTGAGGTGCTGTCTCCTCTGGCACAGAATTCCTCTCGGTTAACAAGATACTTGGGAGTAATAATAAAGACCAAGTCAGATTACAAATGCCCATTTCCTGGAAGCACCATCTTAAAATAAAAGAAGAAGAAAACCACACAATTTACATCTCTCTCCTTCATTTCCCATCCCTCGGCATGAGAAGAGTTTAATTCATAACAGCGTTAAATTCACCCAGAAAGGCATATCTCTATGTTCCCTTCCCATGGAAAAGGGTCCTTGGGGAGAATAACATACATGTGATGGGAGTAAACAGAAAGTGAGGAAAAGGCAAGCTAACGCTAGAAAGGGGGAGGCATCATGAAGCATCACCCGTTTCTTCTAGGAGGGGCAGAAACCACGGGATTATGTAACTAACGTAAAGGAAACCATTTATTTTTAATGTTCAACATTTCATAGTAAATTGGATCAGAACTCCTGCATGGGCCCCATTCCATGGAGTCCGCCCCCAGAATTAGCTGCCGAGTTAGATGGAGGACAGGCTCTTGCTCCACGCGTGACAGCTGGGCTGCAGGCGCTCACAGGATGGTTGCAAAAATTCGGTTTCCTTCTTCCAAACACCAGGGTGCCCAGCTGCCTCTGGTCACTTGACAGACTGCCTTTCCAATCTCGTGCTCCCGCTAATCTACTCGCTCAGTAGATGCAGCACCCTAACCGCTGTAACAGGACTGGTCATTATATTGCTGTAACAGACTAGCAGTAGAGGGTCCTCAAATTTTCAATAAGCTTCAACTAAAAGTGATTTGATGTGGAAGCCACACACACTGGGCCTCACACTGCCCACCGTGTGCCCAGGACACCCTGGAACAGCGGCTGATGCCACAGCAACATCCCCTGCTCGGCCAGACCTTCACCAGGTCCCTGTTCCCTCAGAAGCACTGATGGCAGGAACGACAGTGACAGTTACTTCACTGTCATTGCACATGGAAATTTCTTCTAAAATCCCTCCCTCATGAGGGTTTTGCAGGCTTTGTAGATGCTTAACAGTACATTTATACAATATACTAGAGACCCGGTGCATGAAATTCATGCACAGGGGGTGGAGGTGGGGGGAGAGGGGGGAGGTCCTTCAGCCCTGCCTGCACCCTCTAACAATCCAGGACCACTGGCTCCTAACCGCTTATCTGCTTGCCTACTTAATTGCCCCTAACCACTCTGCTTGCCTGCCTCATTGCCCCTAACCGCCTCTGCCTGCCTGCCTGATTCCCCCTAACCACTCTGCCTGCCTGATCGCCCCAACTGCTCACCTGCCTGCCTGATCGCCCCTAACTGCCTCTGCCTGCCTGCCTCATTGCCCCTCATATTACACTTT